ATATCCAACTGTAACATTTATTCCATTTTGTAAAGGCAAAGATGAACGCGTTTTTCTCAACAATATGAATTTATATAAAATCGTACCATAGGTCACGAACACCTATAGTCACAAATTCAATTCCCAAACTGTTTGTTTCTCGTTGCGTTGTTTTTGGTGCATTATTTTGCTCAATAAATTAACCCTCATTATGGCTCCCCAGAAAGGGAAAACTGTTGATGTCAGTTGTTTAAAGAATCCTAAGCGTATTACAGTATAAACGAAGAGAGAAAAAATAACTAAATATGAGAATGGTGTTCGTGTGTCTGATGTCGCCAAGCAGTACAAGGCTAAATCCACAATCTGGACTATCTCAAGGAACAAGGCTAAATCCACAATCTGTACTATCTCAAGGAACAAGGCTGCGCTAAAGATGACCCGGTGACACAAAGTGCCACCTTGCAGATTAGGATCACTCGTGGAGAGGTCCCAGAAACCACTTTCAGCCGTTATGACCATATTTACATTCAGAACCCCTGGCAGAAGCAGAAGCTTCAAATAACAAAAGATGTCATCCTAAATGGGGACGACTATTTCAACAAAAGTTTTAGGTGCTAGATACTTTCGAGTCAGCAATCGATCCATATACAAGGACACAAACAACAGAAAAGAAATACTAGAAATAAAATTACAATTTCCAGATGTTATAATGGAATGGGACTCTGATTCTTTCACCTCCTCTAACATCTATCTGTGTCTGCAGCTATTACCCACACAGGTAAAACAGTTATACACCATATTTTATATTATATATTGTTGCCACACGTAAATCAATAATTTTTGTTTATACTATACTTGCAAGCAATTTGATAGAGTTAAAGTCTGGTGCCTTATATACCAACATCTTCGTATCACATACCAAGGCTCTTAACAGTTTCCTTTTCAAATCCTGACACCGAAAGTCAGAACAGGACAAGAGGACGAAGAATTGACCCGCCCCCCTCCCCACACCCCCACCCTCACTGCCAGCACCAATGCCGGGCTCAGTCATGACCTAGTCACATCTGGAGCTCCAGCTTTTGTGAAAACGATTTCTTCAAGAAGTCTTTTCCTCTAGTTTCTAAGGCCTCATTTTTCCTGTATAAAGTGTAATCACACCTATTATTTAAGCACACGTCGGCGATACCACCTTCAATATCCTTACAATTTATGATTCAGACACGCGTAACGCCTAAATCAAGAACTCACTTCGTATACCCTGCTGAACAAACAGGGCAAGTATCATCGTCGACACGGCACTGAATAATTGTAGTGAAGTTGTATTCCTGTCAGCCTTATCCCAAGTCAAACATTTTTGACATGCATCAATTACTTAAAAAGAATTTATGTAAGATATTTCCCCCTTTGCAATCATGTAAGCACGATTAAAAGATCAAAATGCCAAAACTGGAGTTTCCTGCGGGGACAAGTCGGCTCAAACTGAGGACATCAAAGTGTATATAAGTGAAAGTCTCACCCAACAGAGATCACCAGCGTCCATCTATAAGACATCTTCAATACCCGCTGCAGGAAAGACAACTCCTCCGTGAGTATATGTGATATAACTTTGTTTTAGGGACACAAGGTCCCACAGTGGTTGGTCAACTTTTCTTCCAAATCAGTAGTCTTAAATCGAATTCCAATTTTGTAAAAAAAAAACTTACCTCGTCTGCAGGTCGATCGAGCGTAATTTGGGAACAGGACAAGCTGTAGAAAGTAAAAGCGGGGCAGAAATTTTTGCAGACAGCTCCAAATACATGATACGACACGCGGTATTCAAAGGGGTCTTTTATCTGTAAATCCAGTATGGGAATTGATATTTTACTATACCTACAATACATATAATACATGTCTTCAGAACATAGAACCTGTTCTGCTGTATGGCAGCGAATCTTGGAATATCAGTAAACAAATTAAAAAGAATTTGGAGACAACAAATTGATGGTTTCTGTGACGAATGTTACAAATAACTTAGACGGCCAGAGTAACTAACAAGGATTGCTTGAAAGAAGCTAATGAAAGAAGATCTCTATATACAACAATATGAAAGAGACAAACACTGTTCTTTGACCACTTAATGAAAAGAGAGGCATTGCAGAACATCGTGACAACTGGTAAGGTCAGTGGAAAAAAAGGGTAGAGGCAGACCAAGAGAGATGATGCTGGATGAGCTAAGACGATTTCATTAAGGGATATAATCAAGAGAGCTGTTCCAGGCAACCAGGGATCGTGATCTGTGGAGACGCATGAGCGCTTACGCCAGTTGGCAGGGCACATGATGATGATGTCTGCAGGGCGTATAAAATAATTTTTTAGTAGCAGTCTATATCCGATACGGCTTTTTTAAATGTGAAGGAATCCTTTATTTAGGTAATCAGGTCATAAAGTAATTGCAGTTCCGACTTCTCAGTGAACTTGTCACCCCCATAGTAGCTCCGTTTTTCTGCCAGCAAAAAACCATACAGAATACCCGGCGCTGTCCCTTGTTTAAAAAAAAATTAACACAGGCTGCAGTCACGACAAAGCCAGTAGCATATACACGCATTAAATGCACAAGGTAACCATGGGATGTGCCGACACAAACAGTCCCTTACTTGACGTACAGTTCCTTGTCGATAAAATCAGAAAATTACCAATAAATCAGTAGTTACAGACGTCGTTAATCGTATAAGGCACCACAAATTGTGTCGCTACAGATAACTCACTATTTCCTGGATCTGCAGTCCACAACATAAACCACGTTTGAACGGTCGAAAAACCCTCCACATAAAATCCACAGCTCACAGTGTGGCTCAATGTACTCAAAAAAGTAGCTGGACGACGGAATCATTTACTTTCTGTCAACATACGAATGAAAATGCAATGCTAACGATTGTTGGAACCAAAAACATGAAACAGAAAGCCAGCCTATCGACTGTACTCGATCAGAAGTCCTTTCCTTTACTTAACTCTGTTCAAATCGTAGCGTGTAAAAAGTTACTTTTACAATAAGCACACTTCATGACATGTGAAATATCGTTTACATTTGAAGTTTAAGTTGGGCAACAACCATATAAATATGTATATATCATTCGTAGTATAGAACAGCTCTATGCTAAGTCCAGCAGTGCTGTCACTCTGAACGGACAAATAGGAAGCTGGTTCCGAACAAGAGTAGGAGTCCGCCTGGGCTGCCTCCTTTCTTCAACGCTGTTTATCATCTTTTTAGAAAGAATTATGATTGATGCCTTAGAACAACATTATGGAACAGTTAGTATCGAAGGTCGAACTGTAACAAACTTAAGGTCTGTACATGACATCGATGGGTTGGCCGGAGAAGAACAAGAGCTAATCAAGCTTGTAAATCTACTCAATGAAACATCAGCTAAGTATGGCATGGAAATAAACGCAGAAAAACCAAAAGTTGGCAGAATTTCACCAATCTACGTAAAAGCCACAAATCAGAACAAGTGACTCATTTCAAATATTTAGGATCCATTTTAAGTGACTTGAGTTCACGACAAGAAATCATGTCTAGGATTGCCCAGACAACAGCTGTCCTTGCCAAGCAGCAAATATTTAGATCCAAAAGCATTTTCATGCAAAACTAAGATTCGATTGCTCAGAGCACTAGCTATTAGTACACTTGCATATAGCAGTGAAACGTGGATCTTAACAGCTAAACTTGAATGACGGATATAAGAAAAGGAAATGCGATATTTCAGAAGAATTCTTGGCATATCATACAGAGACCACATTACAAGGGAAGGGATTTGCCATAAAATTATACAGCACCTTGGCAATTATGAACCTCCTTTCACTACAGTGAACAGGCCAACAAAAAAAATGCAATGGTATGGACATCTAATGAGACACGGCGGTCTCTCAAAAACAATACTGCAGGGCCCTGTAGAGGAAAAAAGGAGAAGAGGCAGACCAAGAAAGACCTAGTTACAGAACCTGACTGACTTTAAAGGCCTCAAGCATGAAACCATGCAGTCTATCGCAACTGACCGCCAAAGGTGGTGAGAGCTGATCAAACAGTCAGCATTAACTGGTGACCCCAACGATACGTAGTGTTAAAGAATGGTGATATATATATATATATATATAATGTAAAACCTCGTTAATACGAACTAACTTAAGACAAACATCCTGTTAAAATAAACAAAATGTCGTTTCAGGCAGGAATGTATTGTTTATATTGTAGGTATTAGTCTATGGTTGCTTTGGTAATTATAAAGAAAACGGATCCTCTAAAATAGCAACATAAAAGTACATTTGACAAAACTCAAGCAAGCTGATATGTTTAAGTACTTTGGTACCCTGATAACATCACATGAAAGATCTATTAAAGAAGATAAATGTGCAATAGCTCAAGTTAAGACAGCATTTACAAAATGAAGAATATTTTATGCAGTCTTTAAAAAAACTGACTCACGAAGAGAATTGATTGCCTACATCAGAAAGAGACAATCTTCATTCTTTAGTCATGTAATGACAAGGAGAAAACTGGAGTACACGGTGACGGTAGGAAAGTTGGAGGGGAGGGGAGGCAGAGGAAGATCCGATAAAACTAAAAACATATGCTGTACAGTTTGACATCATCGCATAGAAGATCATCTGTGTCAGAGTTGATTGAAAGTACACGAGACAGAAGATTGTGGATAGACATGACTACCAACGCCACACAGCATCGATTTTAAGAAGAAGAAGTCAAAACGAACGCTTGATTTTTTTGTTACTTTGGAATTGATGTTAACTATTTCTAACTGTATATATATTTTTTTACACAATTCGTGGCGTGTAAAAGATCCTTTACTTTGTTTATACATACAATGAATTTCGTGTTTGAAAACCATTATGTGTTTTACATTATTTTCACACGACAGTGTAGAATCGTCTCATTTACTTTATGGTCCTTTAAGGCATTGTTTCTGCTCTTTCCCGTACAGACCATGTACAAGCAAGCTATTGTAGTTGCTCTCATTGCTGTCTTTGCAATGGCCTCACAAGTTCAAGGCTACAGCTATGGTGGAGTCGGTGCTGGATTCGGTAGAAACGGCGGTGGATTGGGAGGATTCGGTGGAGGATATGGTGGAGGCATTGGTGGAGCTGGTGTCATCCCCGCAGCCGTTGCAGGAATTGGAGGAGGTTATGGCATTGGTAGCGGAATCGGCGCGGGTTTCGGAGATGGATACGGCAGTGGATTCGGCAATGGATACGGTAGTGGATTCAGCGGTGGATTCGGCAGTGGATTCGGCAATGGTTTCGGCAGTGCATTGGGTGGTGGATACGGTAGTGGATACGGTGGAAAATACGGTAGGTTTTTATGTCTTTTTAACACGTATTCAATGAAGACGAGTCTCTGACATGGTTTGAGGTTTGAACAACGGATAAACATAATCGCATTCGGGTTTTAACCTAAAAGTGCTCTGTTCTTCTTCTAACTCAGGTCTGAGTCCGAAGAAGCTCAGCACCGTGCACAGGCTCTGTGGCATCGGCGAATATCGTCAAATACTTTAGGTAGATTTTTAACTTTAAATGTTGCTCTGGCAGCGCCGATAGGCTACTCTTTTCGATTTCTCACTGATAAGGGGTTTTTAACGTGCGCAACAATGTGTCCGATCTCACTACCCAGAGACTAGGGAGAATTATTAGATATCCAAGTCCACGTGAAAAAATCTCAGCCCTTACCGGGGATTGAACCCGGAACCCTTATAACTCGAAGCAGAAACCATGACTGGAGACCACGCAGCCCTTTTTTTAAAAAGACGTCTCTATAAACTTCTTTATAAAGAAGACACAAACAATAGATTACACAATTGATTGCGTGGCGTATTTCGCTGTATCTCGCTAGGACTCACAGCCATTTGTTGAAACTGGATATATGTAGCAAGCTAGAATTCGTTTTATAATTTTTAATAACAGAGATATATTGCATAAGATGTTCTTAATTTTGTTATGCAGTTTTTGCATGTCCTATTCTGTTTCTCATCCTAGTAATACATCTTCTATCTCATGTTATCCTTGTGCCCAGACACCTAAATTTCTGTAATTGTCCCCCAAAAAACACCATTGAGTTCTATTACACATTTTTGGAATAATTCTTTTCTTTGATACCACCATTACTTCTGTCTTTCCATTATTCAAACTGAGGCCCATTCTTCCACTTTCTACCACCACAATATCTTTCATTTCCCGAAGTTCTTTCTGACTTATTGTTATCAAGACTGTGTCATCGGCACAATGTAAATTGTTTAAAATAGGCCCACCAACCACAATTCCGGGCATATCAATTAAAGATCTCACTATATATTCACTGTACAGTGAAAACAAATCAGGCAAGAGTACACACCCTTGTAGTACGCTCCTCTTTATGCACCGAAATGTCCCTAAACAGTTGTGTTAATTCTTATAGATGCTGTGTTAGTTTTTTTAATTATATTTATTTAACATTTCATATAACAAAGTGAATTCAGTGAACACTGACTCCGAAGCTTAACGACGAGGGAACGGCCTGAACCTCGTTTTGACTGTTCTTCACTTAGTCTAGTTTCCTAGTCATTACTTTGTGAACTCACTGCGTTATTTCCATTGTGGGAGGTGGAAGGTGGGTGGGGATTAGTTGAGAATAGACACATTCCCTTGATAACTAATTGCGAGTGTTCATTTGATGTCGCGGTGAGTCTACCCGAGGTGTAGAGGAACCAACAATCTGCCTATACATAAGCCAGATGGGTAAAATAAAGATGTATTAAAACTCAAGTCTGGAACAAGATTTAGATGCAGAAGTAAATGAATCATCAAAAAATTCTGCCGGACTTTACAAGCGAACAAGAAAAAGAAGAAGTCGAACGAGACAAAGATAAAGAAACAGGAGGAGGAGGAAAAGTAAAAGAAGAAGAAGAAGAAAAAGAAGAAGAAGAAGAAGAAGAAGAAGAAGAAGAAGAAGAAGAAGAAGAAGAAGAAGAAGAAGAAGAAGAAGAAGAAGAAGAAGAAGAAGAAGAAGAAGAAGAAGAAGAAAAAGAAGAAGAAGAAGAAGAAGAAGAAGAAGAAGATGAAGAATTTCGTCATTCTAGCTTAACTGCAGTCATTCCTGTTTCAATAATTGTTTGCGGGTTTTAAAAGGCGAAACTTTTTTTATCCTGAACAAAGAGAATTTTCTGTTAATATTTGAATGAAACTAATACTTCAGACCTACACTCGACTATTCTATTCATTCAGTGTTTGTTATAGGCAAAGCTTTTTCGCTTATTGAAAATTCAGGATATATATATCTCTATTTACAGGTTACTACTAAAGAGCTACCAAGTGTCCAGCTTCAAACCAGCTGATATATTTCTAATTGTCTCTTTGCTTTCAATAAACGAAATGAAATAAACGTTTTCCAATTGGTTTGTTTACTAGACAGTGTGATAAACAAGAGAAGATGGAAATGAATTGGCCACGTTATGAGAATGAATTCTGATATACCTACTAAAACAGCTCTCACATGGATACCAGAGGGGAAGAGAAAGAAGGGGCCACCAAAAACAATATGGAGACGAACAATAGAGAGTGACCTCAATGCGGCATCTCTGACATGGAAAACTGCACTGAAGATTGCACAGGATAGGAGAGCATGGAAAGTCCTCTCTAAAGCCTCAAGTGCCACTAGGCATAAAGCGGAGGATGATGATTGGGTTTGGTTAGTAACGGTCATGGGAGATAATTCAATGTAAACTTTCAGAGGGTATAAAGATCGCTTATTGTTCTTTATTGCCCTTGAGACGAGAAAGAAAATTCTTGAAAGCTATATAAATCCTATACTGGTATATAGATGTGAATCATGGACAGTTAGTAAATTAGTAAAAACGTTTTGGAAGCTAATGAGACGTGGTTTTATAGACAAATGAAAAGAATACCCTGGACAAATAAAAAGAGTAATGAAGATGTCTTTAAACAAACTGACTTACAGTATCTAGTCATCCCCATGTGTGATGTAATTTTTCGTTATTTTGAAGCCTCACCCTGGCTCTTGCCAGGGGCCGCATTATAGCCTGGTCATAAATATGGTCTAATAGCTAAACGCGGTTTCCGGAACCTTTCCACGGGTGATCCTCATCCACATGGGTGGGTATTTATCGCTTGTGTAATGTCCTAGTGGGGTAGAATGTACTACTACTACATATGGTAAATGTCTGCATTAAAAAAAAAACGTCTCTCGCCAGCTCTCCCGCCTCGTGCAATTATATACTGCGCCCATCGTTGTGTTGATCGGCCCCTACTTATCCTTCTTAGTACCTGTTGGTAGTTGGGAGTCAATTTATTCTTGTAAATTTTCAGTTTTAAAAATACAAATGTGTTGCTGGACATTGTGTTGAGCAGTTGTTGAGATATCTCTTTGATTTGCTTCCGTTTACTGTTCACCTATCGCTCGCCTGCGGATGGGCAGGTCGTGGGTTCGAATCCAAATGAAGCCGGGCTTTTCTCCAAAATGACTTTGACTCCCTGGTCGACCCAGCTTTGATTGGGTAACAGGCAAAATCCTTGGAAATAAAGACCAACATCCCTCTCCCCCCCCCCCCCCCCCCCCCCCCCCCCCCCGGTGCCGATTGGTCAATAAAATATAGTTATAGAACCATATACGCTATCTTTGTAAGATATAGTGTACTGCAGGTACAGCGGGTTCCGCCATGGAAAGTGATTCTCAAATAGGCTGGGAACCGCTGGTCAAGTCTATAAAAAGTGGCAATTTTCTTTTGTTTTTGTATTTTTTTCGGCGTTTCGTGGGTTCTGTTAGTCGATTACGTATGACCTCGGTAGCGATGTTTTGACTGTCTGGGGACAATGTTCTAGAACCAATTTCCATAGAGAGGCTGGCTGAAGAAATATAATGAGCCCATAGCGACAAAAAACGAGAGAAAGAGAGACGGACAGACAGACAGAGACACAGAAAGAATTACACACACGCACACATACACACAGAGAACCTTAGAAAAAAGGGCTGCAACGTTTACAACGCATTAGGCAGAGCACACAGACAATCCTTACATTTCTCCCAAATGCTTCGCTGAGATTACTGAAAGAGAAGAATCTTTCATTTTATAAATAACCCTGATTGATTCCTGTTTGAATTAAAATACAGGATCGATGATTGTGTTATTATAAACATTCAAATAAACAACGGCAAGATGAACACGTTTATTTTTGGCAACTAATACTTCAGTATCAGATGTCCTGAGCCCGGATTGGTATGGGGCTCTTGAACCCTGTGGATGAAAAAGATATATTTCTAGTAAGTGATAACTAGAGGATGTTAGTGACAGAGTAAACTACCAAGATCTGATAAATTAGTAACAATGGCCGCTCGTGCACCGGAAGTGTAGAACTGGAGCATCCAATATTTTCACTGGATATCATCCATAACATATTTCTTAATGTTTGTTTTGGTAAACAATTGCATACTCGCCGTAGTCCAGCAGCTAGACGATCACGTGCTGGTCCGAAGGTCATGGGTTTAAATCTAAACCAAGTCTGGTTCCCCGGATGCCCCAGCCTTAAATGAGTACCAGGTAAAGACTTGAGAAGTAAAGGTGGCCTGCGTATGTTGACCACATCAGCCTCTGAGTGCTTATTGTTTGATACAGTGTAAGTCTAGCACTGTATTCCCAAACAGCCCAAAGGCGTTTGAAAGCGTCCTTTTTTACTTGTACACTATTTAGTGCATTAGTTTACTGACAGTAGCAGTTTCCTAAAGTTCTAAAGCCCATTTGAGCAAAATCACTACCTGCGAGATGACATGTCTGAGAAAAGCAGCTAATCTAACCACCCGAGATCGACTAAATAATGGTATTGTGAGATAAATTGTGGGAACGACACCTTGTACTAGATTTATCGAGAAACAGCAGATTAAGTGGTTTGGCCATATAGTTAGAATGCAGCAAGATCAAATACCATCACAAGCTCTACGTCTCAGAAGATAAGCTACAAGAGCAAAATGACGGCCGCGGAAATATGGATCGACAACATTAAGAAAACTCTACGCCTTCATGGCATGACAATAGCCAGTGTAAGCCAGAGTAAATTGGATGGCAAATTATTCTTCCTCCTGCCGCTTTATGGCAGAAGTGGTTTATAATGATGATGATGATAATTATGGTAAGCAGTTCCCTAGTTCAAAGAAGGAGGGGGGATGTGTTATCAGCTAACTATAGTTTCATATTTAGAGTGATGTGGCATATGAAATAGATCCATCGCCAAGCTACTTAGCTGAGTGCGCTGTGTGATACTGTGGACTACAAGTGGACGCGTGTCCAAGATGATTTGTTTCGAGAAGCACATACTGAGAAAATAGTGAGTTGTCACAAAACTGGCTTTGCCTTATGCAATATTGCGTGTACAAATGGTGATTAGTAGTTACTTCTGTTTTCATAGACGATCAGCTGCCATTTATGGTGTCAGTTTTGTACTGGAAATTCAGGCAGCGGCCTTATGCATTTAAAACGTGCTGTTTACTTTGCCGGGATGGTTCATTCTTTCGTTTTATTAATTTTTTTTTTTTTAAATACAGTTGTCAGCTATTTGAGAAGTTTTCTGGGAAGATGGAACTGCATCCAAGAACATAGACAAGCGTAACGATGTTTACCAAGTTAGATGTTACTCTAGCCAGCCTTAGCAGGGCAGCAATAAATCGTAGTGTTCTGTAGAGTGGTGCAGCGGGGAGTGATCGGGGATTTGACACTCAACACACAGAGAGAAAAGCTGTTAGTCTGCTACTAGCACCTTCGAAATTGTTACTCTGCGCTGACTGCTGAAAGTTGGGACGAGTCGCTTATGTGAGTGTCTTGAGTGCTATAACAAATGTATGTCCTTAACTGTACATAATTCAGCTAAACGCAGAAACACGCATTTAAATTAGACAGGAAGTTCCTCTAGAGAGTATTAAATATACTGTACTCCCCTTGTGGATTCCGGGGCCCCTATGTGGGACAAACAAGAATGGACCAACTGCCTCCCCAACAAGCATGTCGTAGGGTTGACTAACTGGGAGCTTACTTCGAAGTCGAAGTGCATTTACCCGAGCTGCAAGGAACAGCCAACTGCACACCAAAAAAAATCAGTAAAACGGGTGAACACGCAAAATTTTAGGGCTGTACCGAATAGTGATTTTCACTATTCGGCCGAATACGAATAGCTGCTGGACCAATTATTCGGCCGAAAACAAATACGAATACGAATAGTGAATCAAATGCTTTGCTGACTGGCAAGGGCGATTATGCCTCGCCATAATCTGCGATCTTGTATTAGTTCGTGTGCTGACACACCTCCATGCCATGCAACAAGGCTGTCAAGAATCTTCTCTCGTTCTCTTCCTCTATCCCTCCTTCCACAGATCTTTCCAGTGGTCACCACATGTTCCATTTTCCGTCATGTTATAACATGGCCGAAAAATGATGACTGTCTCCTTCTGATGTCTGTGAGTAGTTGTCTTCGGGCTCCCACCTCTATCAAAACCCCCTGGTTGCTTTTTTTTTTTTGGGGGGGGGGGGGGGGGGGGGCTAGCCAAGGTATTTTAAGCATTGTTCTCTAAAACCACATCTCTGAGGCCTCAAGAAATTGTTTGACCTGCCTACTGATTGTCCAGGACTTACACCCATATGTTAAAACTGGATGTGTGTAGCAAGCAAGAATTCTTTTTCAAGCCTTCAATGACAAAGATATATTGCACAAGATGTTCTTTATTTTATAAAATGCAGTTTTTACCTGTTCTATTTTGTTTCTTATTTCAGTAATGCATCTTCCATCTGGTGTTATCTATGTGCCCAGATACTTAAATTTCTGTACTTCTCCCCTCAAAAAAACTATTGACTTTTATTACACATTTAGGAATAATTATTTTCTTTGATACGACCATTACTTCTGTCTTCCGACTATTTAAACTGAGGCCCATTCTTCCACTTTCGTGTATAAAATAGATCTAAAAATAAAACAACCATAATGTCATATGTACGCTGAAATTTTACTTCACAAAAAGTAGTAAAGAATAGTAAACATTAAAAAAACATTTCATGTTTTGCGTCCTTCAGTCAGTCAGTGATAATACATGGGAATGAAAGTATTCTTAGTTTTATAACTAGTAACTAAACTTGTAAATTGTCACTTACTGCTTTATTAATCAATAACAGCGACATTAGCTTTCAAAAAAAAAAAAAACAATAGTTCCATGTTGTCAGCATTAAGGCAGCTTCTTGTCTCACTGAATGTATTTCTAGCTGTACTAAACAGACGTTCACTTGGTACGCTCGTAGGTGGTGCACA